TAGATCCTTTAACTTAAGCTTTATGTGTGTACCTCTGACCAGCTATACCTCGTCCTTTTACACAAGTTCCAAAAACACTGATTGATTCATTTAAATTAAGGGGAAAAAAAGTGTGGGTCCTTCCTATAACAACTGAACTTAATATTATGGCTTCATTCTACAAATGATGAGAAAACTTGGAAGTTTCAGTTTTCTCCAATGTATACTATTAATTGTCAATTTTAGAAGAAAATATTTTATCTTAAGTACATATTTGTATAATTTATTTCACAGAACATTAAAACCCTGTTTTAATTAATAAATTGTAGGCATTTATTTGGTTAAATTCTTTGCTAAGCCTGTCGGGTACCTTCAATAAAGCCAGGTTAATAAGCATTATACAGTAACAAGTATGTTTTTGTTTATGGCCACCCTGCTCATAAAAGTCCACCAAAAATCATTTTTGTGTCATTTCAAAGTTGGCCACACAAAACTTTTGCTTCAAAGAAAGCATGTTTAACAATCAAAATAATAGTAAACTTACCACAGCAATTATACCACCTATATTACTGAAGCTGTCTATAACACATGTAATAGAAAAAGAGGCACTCCCCCTTCAACCCTGCAAAGCCACATAAGGTAGAGCTACCCAGGAGGCAACATGTCTTGACTTAATCAAATAACCACCCTAAGGATGTTAAATGATCTAGGTAGGAATTCACATATTAAAATTAGATTCTTAAAGTAGTACTAAAGCCAAATGGTAACTTACACAAAAGGCACCTTTCCTTAATTGCAAAGTTGAATATTTAGCACTTGGATTGTAATTTAAAATAAAAAAGATGTGAGTGTAAAACAATGATTTTGATATGCCAATGTTGGGTATTAAAACTGGCATTTAGCTCAGTTTGAGATAAAAATCTACATAGTTTGTTCTAGTCTCACACTATATCAAGTGCAGACTTAAATGGGGAAAAAAGGTATATAACAATTTTACAAAAAGTTTTTAAATCATAAATTCAATCCTAATTATATTCTAACTATATTTTTACATGACTGAAAAAGATGTAGTTTGGAGTCTTTAACATTTAAAATCACATTTACTAGGTTTTTCTTCTCCTGCTAATATTCTGAAGAATCAATGACCTATTGAAATAAAATTAATTAGGGAAGTTTTTCTTTTGCAGGGAGCTGAGCAGAGATTCTACTCCCAAGAGCTATTCAAACAGCATAAATATCTGCTATTCAATATATTAAATAATTATGTCTTTTGTTTCCTTTCATATAGGTGATAGAAGTAGATTTTAATACTCATCAATAGATGGAATAGATCGCAAACCACCAAACTAAATTACCACAAGTTTTAAAAGAAACAAAATAATTAACCCAAAACCTGTGAATTTACTTTAGGATATTACAGGCCCAATTAATTAAGAGTCATTCTCATTTAATAGTTTGGGAAGGAAAAATAAAGATTTGTAATGTGTTCATAGAAAATAATGGGGCATTTAAGAGCAAGCATTTAAAATTAGATTAAAAATTACAATAATTGGTACCTAGAAAAATTCAAAAGCCCAAATATGATCAATAAAGTTTTTTGTGCTTTATAGTCACACCAATTTACAAAAGAGTTATTAAATATAAACAAAAATGAAGAAATAATAAAATAAGTACTTGAAAAGATGACTCTGGCTACTTCTACCTTAAGATAAGGCAGTCCAAAATCTGTTATCTTAACCTGCTAATATTCTGGGAAGAAATGCAATACCCACAGAAAATGAGAAGAAGGAATTGGAAGAAAATAAAGATAAAAATGAAATTAATTTTAGTTATCAGCAAATACTATCAATATACTACTAACAGGCCCTCCTCTAGAAGAATATATCTATAGGATAAAATTATCCTATAACAATGCACTATGAAACTTCAAGAAATTACTTAAACATTAGGTGGAAGAACATCAAATCTCCACGAGTCCCACCACAAAGTCACAACTTCACAAAATTCAACGTCAGCTATAAAACATACAGTTGGTCTCTCCCTGCCAATAGGAATAAATAGAATAGAGGCGAGAGCTCCTTAGAACGGCAAAGGGGAGCAAAGGAAGAACAAATAGTTGAATTCTTGGTCTACTTTTCATCCAGGCATTTCAAAATACAATATTCTTGGGACCAAGAGTCAAATATTCTCGATAATATCAATAAACATATTACTAGTCAATTCAAACCTCGGGATTTTTTAAACTTTAAAATTCCATAAGTTGCACAAATGTATCTAAATTGGCTGAATTTCCAGAAACTCTTAGAAACAGACCATGCACCAACTCCTGATGTTTCTTCTTTCACTCCCCAGACAATCTGTATTTTTAAATCTACTCAATTTCAATTTGCCTGCAACTTTGTCACGGAAGTATGGACTCCTGATTTTCTGTGTAAAATTGTTTATTTTAAGCCAGTATGCATAAAGCATATAATAATATCAATAAGATCCCAGAAGACAAATATATATAGTAAATATATATGTAATAAATATATATGTACACATATATACACACATGCACACATACTATGCAACCACATTTTCAATGTGTACCTAATTTGGAAACTTTGAAAACAGCCATCCTTATATCATCCTCTATGCAGAAATCAGGTTTAGAATCATTGTAGAGTATATATGTGAGGAAGGGGATAGAAAGAGTGATAAATACATGAGTTAAATTTATCTAGCAGCTGGTCCACTTATGTCAGCTATTAATAGAACTATTTAAAAAATAGTAAAATGGAGTCAAGGGAAATACAGCAGAGCAGACTGCCATGATCCCAGCCCCATTCCTCTCAGTAGTAGAAGGCCAAAAGACACATACAGGTGAGCTTGATAAACTTAAAATATACCAAAATTCCATAACAAAATTGCTATTTTATATTAGTTCTAATTTCTTTTTATAAACTACAAATGAAATTTACTGTATAGGAGCAAGCCTGAGTTTCAACCATTGAAGACAATCTTATATCTACTGTCTTTCTGCATGACAGCTGTAACATGAAACCAGAAATAGATGAAGAGAGATAAACTATTAAAAGGATTATTATACACTTAAATCTTCTGAGAAAATAGAGAGAAGGGATCATAATGGTTTCACATTTGTAAAATCTTATGCAAAGCTATCACTCATTCATCTGCAATTCATTTGAAGAGAAAGTTCCTCCACAAAAGGCACAGGGTTTACTAAACCACTGGTATTACAACTTGAGGCACAGGGCAAATGGTTCTTCCCCACCCCCTACTGTCTTTTCAAGACCACACAGAGATAATGCATTAGTGTTGATTCAACTGTTTTCTTTCTTTTTCTTTTTTACTCTTTAAATGATGAGTGTGAACCTCCCAGTAAGGCATACATAAGGGTATAATGACTGAAACCAAAATCAGGTTATCCAGATGGAAGGGAAAAAACATGATGCTGGTAAGCTGGCAGTCAGTCGTAGCATGTTAGTGTCATCTTCATCTTCTTTGATCTCCACTTCTCCAATAATGCTGTCTCAATCTTTGTATCACAGGAGGTAGAAATACTATTCCACTTCCACCCAGCACATAGCACTAGGTTCCATACTTTAAGGCAAAACTAAAGTCTCAAGTTGCCATCAGAACAATCACTTAGAGAACATTTTGGCTTTCTCCAAGGCTAATAGTTTCTAGGGAAGAGGTATAATGTGTGAATTGATTTGAAATATTTCCTGTTCTGGCCAAATATAAAGAAAGGCATGAAAATAATATAAACAAATGGAAAGAGACTATATATTTTCACCTGTTGAAACCAATTGCAATCACTTAAATCTGCAGTCCCCAACCCCTGCTACCAGTCCACAGCCTGTTAGGGACTGGGCCACAGAGCTCCACACCCTGTCCTGGGTCCCTAGTCCATGGAAAAATTGTCTTCCATGAAACCAGCCCCTGGTGCCAAAAAGGTTGGGGACCACTGACTAAGATGAACACTATAATAAAACAGTAGTTCAAAAGAGCCCTCAACTCCAGAGTCGTCTTTCAGTGGACTGCTCTCTTCAGAAAATGGTCAAAATGTTTAATACAATATATTCGTAGATCTGAAATGAAACCAAGCCTCTTCAAATTATTTAAATGAATGCCAACAAAGGTTTATACAGCTTTATTAGGCCAAAGGTGCTAAAAACCATCCCATCCTTATAATAAGAATATACAACTATATCATTAAAGTATTTAAGCTCCCCTTTTAATTATACTCAGAAAAATAAAATATGTTCATAATTTCTCTTAAAGACTAGAATTGCTAGGCTGAATGTGCCTTGGAAGTAACAGGGCCTAGTAAGACCGGCCCCAATTCTAATACTTCGATCCCCTCCTTTATGAACACTAACCAGTATAGAATTTTCAGTATTTTCCATACCACTTCTACTTTCTAAATTACAAGAAAGAAAATAGAAACAAGCCCAGATTCTAGAGACCAACCTGAAGATAAGGGTGGAATTATTTTTTAAAAAAATAACATATTAATAGAAGTACTTTTATATCAATAATTAACAAATTCAGGAAGTAAATTTAAGTCAGATATTCATCTTTCCAACCATATATATAGTACCAACCTTAAACAAGCCTGGTCAAGTATAAGAATGTTTATATAGAAATATTTAGAATCTCAGAAATTATGTTACCATAGGTTGACAAAAGAAGATAATTCAATTCTTCTAGAAAACTACTCCTACCACCAAAGTGACTTAAAAACTATAGAATTTTGTAGAATTTGACCTTATCAATAATCCTCACAACATCCCTGTGAGGTGGGTGGAAAATATGCAGTATTTTTCACATTTGACAACAGAAAAAGCTAACATTGTTGAAAGAATTAGACCTTGAAGAACCAGAAAGTAACTGTCTTTCTTATTAACCAGTTCGTGACACTGAACCCAAAACAAAGTATTTTACTTTATTAAAAACAAACTACTCTAAAACCAAACCCTCCATTCCCCCCAAAAAGAATCATTGTAGTTTACCAGTAATCTTGTTAAGTCGAGCTCTCTTTGCCTGAAATGAGTTGCCTTGATTATTTTTCCTCTTGTTTGACAATGTGCTCTCTGGCTGTGGAAAGACCATCTTTGGAACGTTCTCTACATGAAGTCCTACTTTTAATAGAACACATATATGAGAATTCATCTAGAATCCAAAATTAAAACACATGATTTTTTTTAAAATAACAAAATAGTAAAAATGCTCTGTGCATAATTTTTAACATCTAGTGCTTGATACAGAACTTTAAAATACACAAACCCCTCCAGACTGATACACTAGAAATAAAACACTACTAAGCAGTTATTCTTTTTTGTTTGTTTGTTTTTTTTAGACAGAGTCTCGCTCTATCACCCCAGCTTGAGTGCAGTGGCATCATCATAGCTCACTGTAACCTCAAACTCCTGGGCTCAAGCAATCCTCCTGCCTCAGCCTCCCAAGTAGCTGGTACTACAGGTCCATGTCACTGTGCCCAGATAATTTTTCTATTTTTGGTAGAGATGGGAGTCTCGCTGTTGCTCAGGCTGGTCTAAACTCCTGAGCTCAAGCGATCCTCCCACGTCGGCCTCCCGTAGAGTGCTAGGATTATAGGCATGGGCCACCATGCCCGGCCTAGTTATCCTTTAAAAAAGAAAAAAGCAGGAAAAGAATGACTCACTGCTTTTTCCATATTGCATATTGCATATGCAGAAACATTTAAAAGGTTGTAGAAAAAAACATAAAACAAAAAACTTCAAGCAAAACCTACTACCAAGAAGTTACAAATCAAAATCTCAACTCATTTTTATTCCAGAATATTGAGGGCATTCAATATCAAGCACTCATATTAGACTACTAATTTTCAGATCTATCTGTAAGATGCTAAAAAAGTTAGCCATCATATTATGTGAGGGGAAAAAAGCCTAACAATATTATTATATGTTCAAAATTACAGGGAGTCAAGGGACTTGACTTATTCACTACATGAGTTTACCGGGGTTATAAGGAATGAACATAAAAACGTATTTTGTACCAAATGTTTCACTAGATGTAGGCAGATCTTCCTTCTTCTCAACTTCTGGTGTGGTTATACAAGTTGAAGTTTCTTCCTTCTTTGAAGGTACTTTAAACCATTTTCTTTCATCTTTATCTTTATTGCTGTTAGCGCTGGTTCGAGGTTTACTCCCTGTTTTATTCTTGGCCGCAGCTGCAGCAGCTGCTTTGACTAAAGCTATCCAATCCTCCAAAGGAAAAACACAAACATGTGAAGTATTAAAAATTAATCAAAATATAATTACACTAATGAATAAAGTATCACATATTCAAAGCTACTCAAGAATATCAATAACTACATTTACATAAGAGCTCATCAACATGGTAGATTATCAAATTTAATAATCTAATAGGTTAGTTGGATTATATAATCTTCCATAAAATAGGAAAAATATTCAATAACAAGTATTCCTTTGAAATATTTTTACAGGAATAAAATCCAAACTAACAGAAGAAACCTGTGGCAAATATGGAATACTACATGACATTCTACCCTAGTATTTTAGGGTTTAAATGCTGCATTGTTTTTCTTTCCCATAATACAAAGCATCATAAAAGTAGAGAAAAATGCTATGCTGCAATTCTACAAAGTTAAAAAAAAAATACTCCCATTGATCAAATTAATATTCTTTATTAGGAAGAATGTGCCATTCAAATTATAGTCAAATTCATAGAAATCAAGGAAGGTATAATTTTAATATTTTCTAAAGCTTTTAAAGTTTGGATAGCAATTTATCACAAAAGCTTAACATTACTGTAGAAAAAAAGCTATGTCGACTAGACCAAGGTAAAGCATACACTGTCAAACTCCAGATTAATTTCTCTCCCTATATAACTCCCTAGGTCTGTGTTTGTTAGCATTTTTCTGAGGTGTGACTATTTATTTTTCCTGTGTTAATTTTTTTAATTTGTTGCTAAATACAATTTACTATTTTATTTTTAACTAACAATGTTTATAGTAAAAAATGCAGAAAGGTGCAAAGAAGTGTAAAGTGGTACTAACATTTTAATTTTCACAATCAGAAAGATTTTTTAAAACATATATTTGAAATATGTCTACAAAGTTAATCTTCCACTGAGGCCACTAAGCTCTGTCAAACAGACCACCAATTCAGATTCATCCAAAATGCATTATACATTAAATACTTAGTCCAAGCAACTAAAAACAATTTTACAACGTCAAATGAATTAAATTGGCCAGGCGCGGTGGCTCACGCCTGTAATCCTAGCACTCTGGGAAGCCGAGGCGGGCGGATTGTTTGAGCTCAGGAGTTTGAAACCAGCCTGAGCAAGAGTGAAACCCCGTCTCTACTAGAAAGAGAAAGAAATTAATTAGACAACTAAAAATATATAGAAAAAATTAGCCGGGCATGGTGGCGCGTGCCTGTAGTCCCAGCTACTCGGGAGGCTGAGACAGAAGTTTGAGCCCAGGAGTTTGAGTTTGCTTTGAGCTAGGCTGATGCCACGGCACTCACTCTAGCCTGGGCAAAAGAGTAAGACTCTGTCTCAAAAAAAAAAAAAATGAATTTAATTGATGGGTTGCATTAACAAATTTCAGTAATACAGGTTAACGAAATTAAGCAATAAGCAAATAGGTTGGTAGCTCTTCAGCCTTGAAAATATATGGTGAAGAGAATATACCATTAAAAAAAACCAAAACTATATATCTACTTCTCTCCCGCATAATTGAAATTAACTGAAAACATCACACGATTGCACCTAACACATTCAATCACCAATTTTCTATGGAATGCGCTGCTATATATGCCAGGAAACAGGGTAAGCATTCAATTGATAAAAGACTGGTCCTGCCCATAAGAAATTCACAGATAAATAAAATTAATTACATGACAATGTGACACGAGACAGAGGAATAACCAAAATACTATAGGAGAACAGAAGAGAAAAGATTAATTTTAACTGAAGAGAAAGACCAGTGTTCAGGAAAAATGACAGATGAGTTGAACCCTGAAGGTAAGCAGAAATTTGCGAGGGAAAAGCACAGTGGAAAAGGAGAAAATGGCCACTCCAAGCAAAAGGAAAAACATTAGACAAAGGCTTGGAAGTCAAAGCACACAGGAATGGGAAAGAGTGATGGAAGGTTCAAGGAGAAACTTGGATAGCCAAAAGCACTATGGCTAACCTGAACCTTGAGACTAACATTTAAGTAGTAAGGAAAGATAGCACCATCAATGGGAAAAAAATTATAAGATAGCAATAAACAAAATGGAAAGAGAAACAAGGGTAAGGACAACCAGACAAGCAAAGTAAAGTGTTAAATGTAGCAGAGAGCATATGTTTGCATACTTATTGAAAGTATAGCATTTAATTCTGGGTTCCACATTGTAAACAAAATTTTAAGTTGTTAGAGAAATGCTGGAAAATGTCAGGGGTAACTTCCATTCCAAGTTGATTTCTACCTCCAATAAAGAGAAAACTAGAAAAAGAATTATACTGCACCTTTAAAAATTTAAATTAGATATTTAAAAATTGCTTCTTAATCATATGACATGTTAATCATGGGAATCACTGCAGCCATGTGATTAAATTCTTCCATATTTTGCTCTAGTATTTGTATGTTTTAGATTTTATTTTGTCCTTGAAATTTTAAATAAAGCATCACTGCCAAAAACAACTGAAGTGTGATGTTTCCATGAATTATAACTAATAATGATAAATTTCCAAGTTCTCTGTAGATAACAAAATAAAGTATTGCACTAAAAAGAGCACTGTTTGAAATCAGAAGATCTAGGTTCAAGGAATCACTTTGCACAGAACAGTTGAGCAAAATTTTAAGTCAGTCACGCAATTCTCTAAGTACTGAATTCCTCAACTGTGAAACAGAAATATCAGCCATACCTGTATCAAAGGATTTGCCATGAGAATCCAATTAAACAATATACGTAAAAATGTTTTGTAAATAGTAAAGGACGTTATGAGCCAACCTTTAACACTAGTGAGTTACAATGTAAATTTTGTATCATTAAACTCTCAGGAAGAAAAAAGAATGAGAGAAAAAGCAAGTACTTGCCCTGCTACAAGCCTCCAATAAATTAAAAATACAATGGCTCAATCTCTCACCCTGTAATTACTATTGCTCTTATCAGGACGGAATATCAGAAGTAACAATAAGTAAGGTCTCATCATATGAAGAAATCAATCCTTATTCTATAAATATGTCAATTTCACAGCTATTTATAGCTATTTATGTATTATACACTACCACTCTGCTCAAAATTATGTAAAAGAAGGAAAAATGGTATGTAAGTAGGGAGAGAGGGGACCTTATTTTTGGCAGTCAACATGTTACCATTACCTTATTTCCCAGTGAGAAAAATGTCTACAGATACACACTGCACCCACTATAATATTAGAAGCTCTTTAAAGTGCTCAAGCTAACTTGAATGTAAGGAGAGGTTTACTAGTACTAATCAACTCCTTCAAAGTCAGAAATGATAGCATTAAGACTTTTATTTTGGCTTAGGAATATTAATTAATTTGGAGGTTTACATATATAGAATTATTATTAATGTCACATTTTATACAGGTCCTACAGAAAGTTTAGGGAAGGGCATTTCCACTGTGCATTTACTTGCTGCATTATTCTTGGCTAGTTTAATAAAAGAAATTTTACTTTATAACTTTATAAAGGAATTCTCAAAGTACTCAAAATCCTGAAGATAATATATAAGACAGCATTCCTTTAGCCTTGCCCAAACAACAACTGATTTAGCCTATTTCCTACATGAAAACAAGTCAAAAACTTTTTGGAAAAAAAACACTCATAAAATGGTAGTTTATAAAAAACAATTCTACGAATATGGCTAGTGTGCTTATAATTAGGAATTGTGAAGAAAAAATGAAAAATTAAAGTAAATATACCACTATCCAAATATTCTTTCAGTAGTTTTATTTCCTGGAACTGATCGGAATGTTAATATATATCATGGTGTGACTAAAATGCTTATTAAAAATAAACATCTAAAACATCCAATAAATTTAATTCTTTCAACCTACTAAGCAAAGCAAATTGGCTCAATGCCCCCCTTTGAAGAAAAGAAAGTTCTAAGGCAATAGTATTAGTGTCATTTGATGAACATCTGAATAACCAGAATAATAAAATAATTTTAAAGCAAAAAAAATTGAGACTTTTGTTTAAACAGGTATGTAACTAAACTTTGTTCCCAACGTTTTAATCAATCTTTCTATGTAGTAACCAAAAAAATCACACCATTGAATGTTTAAAAGAACATTTTATTTATACATACATGTCGGAAGATACAAAGCAATTTCCTGACCAAAAGCATTTTCAATTGCATTTACATGTTAATGGGGGAAAAACTCTGCTAGTTGATCACTTCATAACTAAATTTTTGAAAACCAGGTGATTTAAAAACATCACACTTCTTAGAAGATTTCTTCAGGAATAACTTTTTTTAAATGTGGTGGTACATACATTTCTAGATCATTACACACTGATACTTGACTAAAGCTGACCACGTGATTTCAACACATTTCAGGATGACATTTTTCACTGCACCGTATGGAATAAATACGTAGCATATTTCCATATCAGACATTTTTATAGACTACTTTCAAGTTCTTAAAATTAATTGTAGGTCCAGGTGCTGAAAATCCCAAATAACAGCAGAACATAAAAGAAAATATTTTAAATTTCTAATGGCACCTTTTCTTTCCAGTATTTCAGAAAACACAGTCAACAAATGGAATCTTGGTTTTTACTCCATCCCAGATTGTCCTTCAAATGCTTACCGTTCTTTCTTGCTTTGAGCAGTGACAAAGCATATAATACACTGCTTCCATCATATAACTCAGAGAGCCCTCCCTGAAACAGCCTACAGAGTGTCAGGTAAGCGCCTTTTAAAGAAAGATGAATAACTATGATTTGTAGAAGGAAAGAAGAAGATAAGAAACTCAATGTAAAATTTTATATAAAAATTAACTTTCTAAATGATATTATATACCAGGAAAAACAAAACAAAATTTAAAAAAAGGCACTTACCTCACTTCCCATAGACTGGTTACACGATCCAGCTGGGTCGATAGGACAACACCAGCTTAGTGGATGCTGGGATTTCACCTGGAACAGAAACTAGTGACCTATAACTTTAGCAGGTCTAAAACCAAAGAAGCAAAAATCAAGTGTATAATTTATTTTACATTCTAAGCTTTTTTTTCTTGCTGCTATTTGGGGCTATCAGCACATAACCCTACAATTAGTTCACTTTTTAAAATATATATTTTGATCAGTCACCATTCAAGAAGATATCTCATTGAGTAGCTAGGAATACTGAACACTCTTACCTGCCCCTTAGCATCCTCGGGCATGGCTTTAATGTGCATTCTTTTTAAACAACGAATTACTCCATCATAAAACTGAACTGTAAATGTTCCTGAAATAGGAGCAAGTCAGAATCATTAGAAAATATAATCAAACTTACAGCAACAAGTAGTGACCTGATATAAATAAATGTTTTGGACTGCACTAACTGCAAACATACACTCCTTTTAAGGACTCTATCAAGTTTACTTTCTCTGTCCCTCTAAAAACAAGTCTAAACTCATATTTCCCTTAAAAAGTACACAAATTAAGTCTTGATAAGTTAGTTGCATGTAATTCTGATTTTTAGTGGGAGACTTTATAATTTATTCTGTAATAAATGTTTAGATTTATAATATAGCTGAAAAAAATAAAATCCCTATTTATAAAAATGTATAATATTTCCATAGGAATTACCATTTGCTCTCTTTGAATATTTCTTTCAAAATAAGTAACATAGAGAAAGATCTGATACACGGAAAAGATCATCTTCCCAGGAAAGGATTGTTCCTTTAGCAGTAGTAACCAACTGGCAAATAAGAATTATAGATTCTCAGACTTTTAAGCTAGAAAATACTTTACCAGTCATCTGGGTAAAAGTCTTCATATGCAGCTCAGGACATCGAACTCCAGAAAGGCTAAATGCTACATCCAGTGACATTCAGCTATGCAGTAGCACAGCCATAACTAACATTCCCAATCTCTTCTAGCCATCTATACCTTTCCTACTAACTTACTCTACTTTTAGGACTCAATAGTCTATTTGTATGTCTATTATGAAGCATATTCACGTTGTGTTATAGACCCCATGCTTTCAAGTCAATATAAGCCAGTACTATTATAAAATATACAAATTATGTATGTTTTATACTTATAAAAATTCAAATGCCTTTCTATCATTTCCCAGATAAATGTTTTTCTACCATTTCCCAAATGAAGACAGAGCGTCACTTTAAGTAAACATATATTTGGCCTTTACAAAGGAAGTATAAACAAAAAACGTGATAACCATTATTAATGGCTTTGGATCTGGCACCAAAGCCTATGGCATATATGTGCTAAGAATTTTCTTCTATTGTAATTTGAATATTTAGCATAATGCTAAATATCAGATACAAAGATCTAAACTCAAGTTATGAGAACAACAGACCAGGTGAACAGCAAGGATGTAAAGACATTAGAAAAATACACCTTGCACTACCATCATTCCTCTTCCTTCTTAAATATGGCATTCCAGATAAGGCCAGGATGCACACCAGGCTGTTCAGGCATTCATAACTCCCTGCCTTTGCTCAAACTATTTCTTCTCTTGTGATACCTTCCGCCTCTCCTTATGTCTAACTCCAATCCACTCTTCAAGGACCACCCCAAGATGAAAACTTCTCTGATCACACCTTCACTCCAGTACACACTGGCCCCTTTTCTTCACTTCTGTAAGGTGTACTAGAAATACTTAAATGTTCACATTTGTTAGTTTTGTTTTTACACTGAAGTGAGGGCTTCCTTTGCCTTTGTTTTTTCTTTTTTCTTTCTTTCTTTTTTTTCGGAAGAGGTAGGCTCATCTACAATTTGGGGCACATAGAAATCACAAAATTAATACCTCTAGTGAAGTTTTTTTTTTTTTTTTTTTTTTTTTGAGACAGAGTCTCACTCTGTTGCCCGGGCTAGAGTGCCGTGGCGTCATCCTAGCTCACAGCGACCTCAAACTCCTGGGCTCAAGCGATCCTCCTGCCTCAGCCTCCCGAGTAGCTGGGACTACAGGCATGCGCCACCATGCCCGGCTAATTTTTTCTATATATTTTTAGTTGTCCAATTAATTTCTTTCTAATTTTAGTAGAGACAGGGTCTCCCTCTTGCTCGGGCTGGTTTCGAACTCCTGAGCTCAAACAATCCGCCCGCCTCGGCCTCCCAGAGAGCTAGGATTACAGGCACGAGCCACCGCGCCTGGCCTCTAGTGAAGATTTTTAAAAAACAAATATCTGCCAAAAGTTCACTAAAGGCTCATTGAAACTACTCATGAAATGGCAGGGATCACAATCAGTATCACTACTCTTCCACTAATGCAAGGTTAATTTTCTATATTAAATAATTATCAATAAAAGGGATAAGATAAAGAATGAGGGTGGTTTTGTTTCTGAGTGTGTATTGTGCATATGTGTGTACGTACTTGCATCTGCATAAACTCAAGGGACTTTAAGCATGGAAGGAAGGTCCCAAAGCTCTCCACACTTAAAGAAACTGTTATTAATTAAAGTAGAGAGCATTGTTTAATTTTGCTTTGTTTTGTTTCGGGTAGATCCCACAGAAAAAGTTCATTACTTCTTCTTTTCCTTCCTTAAATCACTGCTGACTATCTACTCTCTGTTAGGCTCTGGACTAGACACTCAGAGGCCAATCTGAGTAAGACTCAGCAATGTAACTCCGTAACACAGCTCCCGAGAAGAGAAAGCATAGCGAGATATAGGCCCCACCAGAAAAGAAGAAATAACTTCCACACCTAACAACCAAGATGTCTCTCAATTCCTTCTATAGCAGAGTAACTAGTGATAATAAAATCACAACTGTATTCATGATTTCAATTCATTAAAATAATACATTGGATTAAGGTCTTCACACTTGGTCTTAGCCAACAGGCTGAGAAGTGATAATACACTGGATTAAGTTCTTTGGAAACTTATAGCATGATTTCTAGCTAGACTATTATGATTTACCTTTTCATACCTAACATTCTTTACTATATCTCTTTTTAAATGTTTTCCTCTTCTATCTTTTCTTACCTCCTATTTTCTCTCAAGTTTGTTAGTTTAAATTCTCGGCTTAAATCTCTCCCATGGTTTCCATCACCTCCAAATATAATTAAAATTCTTCAGCAAGATTATAAGACACTTCACATACCAATTCAAATAAATAGCAGTTCCTTAAAATGGCATGGCATTCCTGTCTCACTTCTATTTTTTTCCATATATCACTTCTTCTGCCAGAAAAGCCCTTTTATCACTTCTTTAGCAAACTTAGTGGTCTTTCAAGACTCAGTTTAAAGGAATTTTACCCTTTACTTAGACAAATGCCTTTCTTGTTAGGAAGCTGTCACTCAATATTTGTTTCTTTATTAAAAACAATGAATACAGTAGTTCCCCTCTCATCTGCAGTTTTGCTTTCCATGGTTGTGACCAACTGTGGTCTGAAAATGGGTAAGTATAGTACAATAAGATATTTTCAGAGAGAAAGAGAGAAAGGGGGGAGGGAAGATTCACATAACTTTTATTACAATATATTCTCATAATTGTTCTATTTGTTATTGTTGTTAACTTCTTACTGTGCCTGATTTATAAATTAAACTTTATCACAGGTATGTATGTACAGTATAGGAAAAAACATAGTAGTGTTTATAGGGTTTGGTACTATCTGAGGTTTCAGGTATCCGCTGAGGTCTTGAAATGTATCCCCTGTGAATAAGGGGGGACTATTACAAGTGGTCAAGTTTAAGAAATAGTTGTAACAGAAAACTAATGTATTACTGATTTGAAAAGTATACTTGCAAGTACTTCATAACTTTTTTAAATGAGAAATTTAAAAAATAAAATATTTAAGTTTATTTTCAGTAATTATTTAAATACGAATTTTCACATCTTTCCAAATTAATCAGTCTATGAGTTATATTTTTTAAATTCATTATCTGTCCAATAGATTTCCCAGTCTTATGCCATACTATTAATAATATACCTAACTTCCATTATTTTCAACGTTTTTGATCACTTAAGTAACTATTGATCAGTATCTAATATTCTAATAAATGTCCACAAATGGCTATTAGGAAGATTAACTCAATTATCTATAGAAATTAATGATAGGGGAGGGGAGGGAGACACATAAAGGAAATCCTCAAACTGATAAAGTCCCATACCCTCTCCTCATAAAATACAGTATGTATTTCACTTGTGAGGTGAACTGATTTGAATTTCCCTATTTCTTTAACCTTTCTTCACACTCCGGTCGAGATGTTCATTAATACAACAGCCACAAACTAGAAACAGAGAAGTAGAAATAAAATGCATATAATTGCCTGGGAACTGAAAGTTGAAAAATTTTAAACAACTCTTTATCTCTACTAATTTAAACAGTTTATTTTGGCAGCAAATTATGTGTGATTTTATTCTATACAATATATAACAAATTAATGCTTCCAAAAAAGAACATTAGCAGGAAATTCATTCAGTAAAATATAAAACCAAGAGGAGAGTTATATGTAACAATTACATACACTAATTAAAATTAAAACATAGTAAAATTTTACTATCAATCCCATTTTAAGTCTCAGATCATTTCAAACACATACCTTCTTTGTTAATTGCTTCAATCTTGGCAGGGTAATAGCGACAGTCTGTCCAACGAGCCAGAACTTCTTCTCCAGCTTTAAAATCCTATTTCAAACAACATTTAAGATAAGTTCCATGTATAATAAATAAGCATTTCCTTAACAAAAACAGGCTTTGGTAAAATTTAACAGAATACTTTTAAAATATGTCATTACATATCTACCCAATTAGCAAGTGAAAAAAGCTTGCCACATACAAAGAAATCTTCTTCATCTTTTAGCCCTTCTTTTCTTAGTGCAGGTCTCTCAAGGGGTCGCAATCTATTACTATCCCAGTAAATCCATTCATCATAACGATGACTCCAGCGCTCAAAATGGACCAACATCTTGCCCTCCTCATAGTCGATTTTTTCAATTCGTGACGGATACCTCAAAAATAAAAAAGCTTCATATCAATGAAAAATCCTTATATTTGTTTATAAAAAGTGTTAAATAGAAAGATTTAACTAAAATATTGCTTACCAATAAAACCATGAAAAAAACAATATGTCCATATGTTTAAACTATTGAACCAACAAAGCTGTCTTTTTTAAATGACTGTTCTCAAGATCTGAGGAAATAAACCCCTTGATACACTCTGAGTAGAAATATAAATGACAGCACTGTTTTGGGAAGTAATGTGATAACATGTACCAAGAGCCTTAAACATATTCCTACTTTTTGACCCAATAATTCCAATTCTGGAACTATATACATAAAGCATTATTTATAAAAACAAAAAAAATAGAAACCATGTAAAAATATAGATGGAAAAACTGAGGACTGTCTAGCATTGTATGAACATATTCACTGAATGGAATATTATGTAGTCTTTAAATACGGTATTTACAAAGAATTTATAATATGGAAAATACAAAAACATAAGTACTATATTTAGTAGAAATATTTTGTCTAGAGAAAAATACAAATATACCAACATACATTTGTCTCTATATGGCATAAGTTTACTTTGTTCTTTTTTTTCCCCTTTATTTTCCAGGATTTTGTAATAAGCATCAACGATGGTAAGAGAAAGCTCAGTAAAACCTTAAATTTAAAAATGTAAAATATTTCTTTGTTCTGTATTCCTGTGTGATGATTCTCCTAGGATTAATTCCAAAATAGAAATTAGTTAACTTGAAACTTTTTACAAGGAATACTGCCTCATCATTCCTAATGTACTTATTAAAATGTTCATGCATAACACAAATTTTTTAATAAGTATGATTAAATAACCTTAAGAACTCAGTAGCAGCACATGGTAAATGATTTAGCCATAATAATTTATCTTACATTCTTGCTAGTTTTTGATAAATTTGAAGTCTTTGTTTTCCCTGTGGAAAACCAGCTTTAAATATAAAGCACAGGTGACATTACAAAACTTTGAAATTTAGGTTACTACCTGCTTTATAAATCAATCATGCTATTCAAGATTTTTAATACATCGCAAGGGCCCTGACTCATTCTCTAGCATACCTTCTTCCTTGACAGTCAATCCCACTTTGGGTTAATGATACTGAGCTACTTGGATTTTCAGCAAATACACCTTGCTCTGTCAAGCATTTGTGCTTTTGTACATTCTATTCTTTCTGTCTTGCCCTAAACTGTCCTTCCCTTCCCTTGTATAGGCGTGGTTGAAGACTTGGTAACATGAAACTGCTTGTGTGAAAACTTCCCTAACTCCTCTGTTCCTGCTGTTCTCATAGCACTCACCATGTTATAAATGTGTCTGTACAGGTTCCCAAACTGGGTGCTGAAGAGTATTTACATCCCTTGAGACAGTGATATGTGTGGCACAAAAACAGGGTCCTATGGTCAAATAAGCTAGGGTAAACTGGATTACAGAAAGCTGCAATGCTTTCTTTACTGAAAGACTTCTTGGTTGTGTCAACAAGATGGGGATAAAGCATTCACTATTACCAAACTCAAGGAAATATGTAACTCCTTTTACAATGAAATATTTATTAACATTCCTCAAGATAATAGAGAGGTAAGGAACATGAGGTTAGAAATGCTACTCTGGCCTGTAAGCTTCTGGGGATAAATGACTCATGTTCATCTTTGTAGTCACCAGTATCTAGCACAGTGATAGGACACACAATGGTCACTGGGGGAATGTTCTAAAGGAATAAGAAGTGATGTCAAAGAAAGGCTATTTGCACATTTCTTCAGAACTAAGAGGGCTGGTGACCCAATTACAACCTTAAGTTAGATCTTAGTCTTAGTCTTTTTGGGGAGTGGGTGAGAGAACATCGTGCTAAAGAAAAGCACAAAAACAAGAAAACATAGGAAATTAACACACTTCCTGATGTGGAAATGCCTATCTACCCACTTAAAATCAATGCTATAATGCTTGTCTTTTGCAGTTTTCCTCTAGTTCTGTTTTTGCTGCTCTGGTTTTTAAAACATAAAAATTGTCAATAGCATTAAGGAAAATCAGAACAAGGTTGTCCTTTATTGCTCAACATTCACTAGTCACTAAAATACTATAAAGAGATTTTCTATCAATTTTAAAAATTGACAAATTTCTTTTAAAACATAAAAACCTTTAACTTCACATGCTTAATTTATCATCAGATCTTTTAAATTCTGAATAAAAATTAAGGTCTTTATTCTTGAGATTTCTTCAATTCTAAATATATATAACTCTATATAGTTGAAACATTTCTCAAAGTGAGAATAGTCCACAGTAACAGAGTTAAAAACACACTTTTATTTTCATGACATGATTCAATTCAGTAAAGAATCGGAATCTAAGTGAGTTCAAACAATTTAAATCTGGATTTATTTTTAAGTAACTTACAGTTTTCCTAAAGTATTTTAAATTCTGTTGGCTGAGAAGATGCCTGATGCAACAACCAGACTAAAAATTGTATTTTGGGGATCCTCTTTAGGACAAGTTACATTACAGAATACTCTCTACATAAATATCTAGAGACTGATAAGTACACTTGGGATGAAGCCCAATAATTAAATAAATAACACAAATACTCAAGTTTAATATCTATTTTAATTTTTATAATGTTTACTAATCAAATTTTGAATCTTACATGAAGTTACCAGAAATATTACCATTATCAAGAATGTCCAAATTTCTGTTCATTCATTCAACATATATTTGAACACCTATTAAGACTAATGCACTTGCTAGGCACAGTTGGTAGATAAAAAAGAAACACAATTCCTAGCATCAATGAGCTTAGAGTCAGATAAGGAGAAAGAAGAGTCAGAACATTTACTGTCACAAGTATGCCAGGCTCTATGTTTTTTACTGAGTGTCAACTGCTCTTTTTATACATTATTTCATTTGATCTTGGTAACCATCCAAGGTATAGATGTAACACAGTTTCCATTTAACAGATGAAGACCTGTCCAAGAATACACATGGTACAGCCAGTATTCAAAGCCAAGACTGAGTGGCACAAAAGCCTATGCTCTCCATGCCAATAGGAGAAATGGGATAAGGCCTCTATCTAAGTGAATATATCATACACAATAAAAGTGGTAGTATATACAAAAATTTTACATATGATGCTTTAATAGTTCAGACAAAATTGAGAGTTAATTGAAGGTTCTTGGGAGATATTATGTTGGACTTGGTAGAGGAATTTAGACTTAATGAACATGGTACAAATGGAGGTAAAGTGTATACACAGAGTAAAATTCATTTGTTCAGTTGTTCGCTGACTTAAAACTACCATGTGACTCTGGGTTAGGCAAGCAACCAATGAGGATTCAGACATAAGTAGGATGTAGTATCTGTCCTCAGTTCAGAGACTGGGAGGGACGTTTAAAGGAAACAGTAATATTTCCTTTGACTAGACTATACGGTAAGCAGTAAGGTAGATAAAGAAAAATACTGAGACATCAGATTGGACTTTTTAGCTCTGTTCAAACCTGAAGGGCTTTGAAATGGCAAACTAATGAAACAACCCTTTTTTCTGCAGTCAACAGGGAGTCATTTAGAATTTGTATTTAATTTTGTTATTAGTTATACCTTAGGTGAAAAAAATCATAACATCAAGATCTTTGTAATACATGTAAAATGCACCAAAAATTGACAATTTAACATATAGTTCTATATAGTGAAATGATTTCTCTATTCTAGCAGATGGCCCATAGTAATAATGTTTTGATACATATAGTGAAGGAAAAATATTGTTGAACAAATGTATTCACAAATGCTTCTCTACCTTGAACTAAAACAATATTATTTTGATGCACTATTTATGTTTTAATACAATTGTGAATTGAACATAAGATTTTTCTTATTGAATATGGAACATGCAGTATTAATGTTTTTATTTGCCATTTTTTAAAAGGTTGAATCATAGAAAGCTATGAAAGTAAAGAATAGTGATTATGTCCAGCCACAGACATTTATGAGTGATTTGGGAAAGGATTTAAGAAGTGGAAGACTTGGGGTTTCGAAGTTTAAAATGTGAGAAATAAGACACCAACAACAATGATCAGGGATAAGAAAAAAAGGAAACAATTATAGTTGGCACCTCTCAAGGGTTTAACAGAGAGAGATGGAGAAAAGGTAACCTCACTAAAAGTATGATTTCTCAATGCCAAAATTCTACATAGAGCTTTCTTATCCCTTATTATGTTACTGAAAAATACCATAAAAGTCCACTATCTACCTTCCCTGCTATAATCCCACTTCAAAATGCATGCATTGAGTAGATGTTATTTACTTGTGCAGAAAATAAGGGATTGCCTCTACTGCTCTGGGTCTACCTTGCTCTCGTATGTCTTATATTTGAATCCTAGAGAACAGAGTTTATCCTTACAAAACTTAACAAGAAAAATAATTCCCTCTAAAATGAGTTCTTTCTAGCTTTTTTGGTTAATGGAAATGAAAAAGCATTCCAAAATACTGAGAAGACTCTAAAACGATATATGCTAAATTGTTGTATATGCAATTCTATTAATGTCTCAATTGATTTCTTAGGACCCTTTTTCAATCAGTGTGGGCCCTTTTTTGAATCAAAGTCCTCTAATGGTCAAGAAAAATTGTGCCTATAACTACAGAGTAGAACAAGGTCATTACCACAAATAAAAATTATTTTCACCTTTTCTGAACTCTTACAACTTTTTATTGTCTTATTTGATATGTTGTCATTTTAACACTACGACTAACCTGCCATTTGTACAAGACTATTCAGAGAGCAGCAATATCTATAGATTCCAGACTAAACCCATAATCCAATAAGAACAGGCACTAACCAAAGAGCTATACTCTTAATATATTGTATTGGTTCCCTATTATATGAACTCTTGAGTGTTGTCAAAACACAAAGAGAATATGAGAAACCCAAAATGAGAATTGCCATTACTGGTTAATTCCTATACTGGTTCACATTGTTAACTGTTTTACATGGGCA